AGTTTTTTGTATTAGGTAAATTTTTGAGTTTTTGAGAGTTTAGTAGAAGAGAGATAAAAAGAGTTGGTTTGACAATTTTGTAGAAATTAATAATAAGTTGTTCAGCTTGGAGAAGGTATTGTTTATTATATTGAGAACAGACATTAGAAAAGGTTTGTTACTAAAATTAAATATTAGTACATTTTACTATAATTAGAATATAATACAAACATAATTCATCATCAACAGCTAAAATATATATAATTACTTATAAAAGCTTAATAAGGTAAGAATCCATGATGTGAATATTTCTTGATCTATATCTAACATTAATAGAATTCAAAAATCTAGCAGGATAAAATAAAAAATTGCACTCGCACCGATGTCCAAATTAACGGAGATCTAAAACCAATAATTATTCATAATGATATACCAAAATTTGAAATTTTTAGAGAATTATTTGACAAGTGGATTGATTTTTCATGTTCTTTACCAGTTCCTATGGAAATTGAGGATGGTGACAATATCAAAAGTCAAATCAAAAATATTTGGAAAAAAATCTCAAATAACGAAAATGATTATCAACATTCAAGAGTCTTATACATCTATACGCTTTGCGAATTAGTGCATATCTTCTTTAATCTAACGAAAAGAATAAAGAAACTAAAGAACTCTGGTCAATTTTTTATTCCCAGATTTATCACTGTAGTTGATCATGAATCTGGCAAAAAAAGTCAAGAAATAAACCCAGAAGCAAATAACTGGAATCATAAATTTTCCAAAGGTGAAAGGATTGCAAGTTGTGTATATAAAATATTGGTAGAATCATCCACAATTTACCATAAAGGTAAATCAGCAATAATTAAAAATGTAATGGTTGCAGCCAGGCGTTCATTAATACTTGTTCAAAGATTGGGTTGGCAAGTAATTTATGATAGCAAAACGATTGACCCACCCAGGCTAAGAGTTATGACAAAGGATGAATTTTCTGTGCTTATTAAAAAAATTGAAGAGCAGATACCAGCAGATAGTAATGATTATTATAAGCTATCCGATGAGAGCTTAAAGGAATTAGAAGAGAGCTTTTAAAAATTATGCTGATAAAAATTTTTATAATTATTCATTCAAGTTTTTTTGTAGTTTAAATCGTTATTAGATTCATTTATATACTGCTTGTTTTGCTTTCTTTACTCGATGAATTTAAATTATAAATACATTTTAATTAACAATAAGACTAGAGGATAAAAACCAATGTATAATTGTTCTCAATACTACTAAAATTTGGGTTGTCCATTTCTAATTTTAATATAAACATGACATGATTCTTGTACCATATTTTTGCGTAATAACCCCTAAAAATAATAATATATATAATTTCAAATTAACCCTCGCGCACCCATAGTAAGGGATGTTTATTTATAGTAAAATTTAAAAATACTTTGGAGCTGAATTTAGTACTAAGTAAACCTTCGAACTTTAACAAAAGTTGTTTTTCAGAGCAACTTTTGAAGGAAGCTTTACTTAATACTAATTCTAATTTCGAAGCATTTTTGTTTGTTTACTTTTTATACAAGAATTATTAATTGTCTCAAAATAACACTCATGCATATACTCAAAATAACGCGCAGGGGAGTAATTAATCTTTTTAAGTATTGTGAAGAAGAAATTAAAGAGAAAAAACAGCTGGAATATTATGTTTATTTTTATTTGATTTTATTGTCACAGCAGTTACAATTTATGTTCAAGTAAGCTCATATTTATTGGAATTTTTTAATCAATTTTCAATTTTATCTTTCAATTCTTCAAAAAAAAAAAAAAAGTTTTCTCATTAGATAAAATCAATAGAAGTTCTTTAATATGAAATTGTGAGATATTCTTTTTATGTCAGATTAGAATTTAATAAAATGACTTATATTTACAAATAGAAATTCCAAACTTCAGCATCAGCATCAGCTATAACAATTACATAACTTTTGAAAAACTAAAATTTATCGCATCCGTTAGTTTTGCTTATGAATTTGATTATACGAGTAAAGTCATATCCCTTCGACAAGGCAAATTCCTTAATAAGCGGAAAAAAAAATGGGGCCATCGGAAACTATGTATAGAAGAACCTTTTAAAACGTCAAGAAATCTTGGAAATGGTATAAACCATGTTAGCTTTAAAAGGATTATTAATGAATTTCGTAGGGCCTTTAGAATTCTCTACCAATATGTTGACCTTAACATTTGTTGCGAAAAAACATATCGGACGCCATTAGACGATTTTTGCGATGAGTGTGAACAAAAAAATAGATCTTTTTTTATTTCTAAGAAAGTTTTTAAAAAAAACAAAATCATATTTAGAATTAAAGAATCGTGGTTTGGGTTCGGATTTTGAATTGATGAACCACTTTTTGGGTTAGATACATTTTTTAATGTTATTTTTTTTTGAGAAGATTAAAAGTTTTTTTAATAAAAGTAACATTTTTTATAAAACACAATAAAACTGTGGCGAGCAAAAAAAGGTCTTTTATAATGTTTAACTGATAATATCAAGAATTTACAAACCATTACTTTCATTTTGAATGAGTATATTTTTGGTTTTAAATTTCTTATGTGTTGATGTAAGAGATAACTTGTAAATCCTTGATAATTTTCGTAATTCTAATCAGGTCCTATGCTTATATTTTAAAGTATTTTAGCCTTCACAATAAGAAAATATTTTTAAAAAAATGACAAGTACTTACTATTGTGTAATAATTTGTTGATCTGTGGAATAATTTGCAAATTTTAGATTTTTTGTTAAATTTTTATTTATTTATTTATTTTTTTTTTTGAAGAATTTTTAGAAGGATTTCAAAAAAGAAACATTAGGCGCCCTTGTGGTGTCACCATTTTTACAAAGAGTCTACACGCATGCTGACTTAAACAAGGTATAATTCACTAACAGATTAATTATTTATACTCCAATAATATAATACATTGTAAAAAAGAATCGCATTATAAAAAAAATAAAATAAAGTTGCTATATTTATTTATAAATAATAAATAACAAATTCGATAAAGTACATTTTAATTAAATATTTACAATTCAAAGTTTTTTTTTTTTTTTTACAAATTATTTTCTTTATATTATTCAAAATCATAATTTTTTTACACACGATTGTTCTTTTTTAATTTTTCGAATTATCCCAATGAGGTTTACATTTATTTTTTCTCTATTAGAATTAGATGATTTGACTATTTCTATCTGTTCTTCAAGGTAATTAATTAATACTTGTTGATCGGCTATCCTTTTCTTGTTATCTATACAATCACCAATTTTATTCTTTAAAACTTGTAGTATGGCTTTATTTAGGATTTTCGATTTCTTAAGGTCTACAGCCACATTCTGAAAATTCAACTGCACTTGATCTGCTTCATTTTGAAGGTTATTATACATTTTATCTTTTTGGACAATTTGCTGGCAAAGAAATTTTATTTCCTGTTTAAATAGCAAGTTTTCAGTTGTGATTCGTTTAAGGAGTAAATTTTCTTTGCTGATATGTTTAATTTTTTGATTTTTTTTGTTTATATTTTTCTTGAGTCGTGCATTTACTTCTTTTAGTTTAGCAAGTTGCTGGAGAGTATTTTCCTTCGGCTTATTTTTGGATTCATCCTCTTCATCGTCGTCCAATTTAATAACCAGTGTTGAATAATCGTCATCAATAGCATTGGTTTCTTCAACTTTAGAAGCATTATAAAAATTAAAAAAAATAAGAGCAAAAATATAAAAAATGTAGTAAAAAGTTTTGAGTATACAAATAGCGAAAATGATATCCATTTTGCGAATTGGATTCTCAGGAATGATTTTGCAAAATTTAAATACTTTCGTGTGAATTCGACTTCTGCACAGCCTCTTTTTAATTGCAAAAATAGTCTCTGTTTTTAATTCAAAAAAAAAAAACCAGTTAGAGAAGAATCTTTTTTTGATTCAAAAAAATTTTTTATAGCAAAGACTAGATTTTTCGCTAATGTGCATTATCGCGCAGCATTTTGAGGCTTAGTACGCGTACTAGAACGCGCTCAATTCTATTATTTTACCCAATTCTAATTAAGCAACTAAATAAAAATTTTAATTATACAATAAAGTTCAGAACCGAATTTATTTTTTATATAATAAATTCGGCACAATATACCGTATCGGTATTAATTATTTGTCAGTTATATTATGAAAACCGGTTTTTATAATAAAAGATATTATTATATTTACAGTATATCGATTTTTCGTTGTTCAGTTCACTATAAAAAGACATATTAAATCCTAGAGCTGACTGCATTATATACGTACTTTATCACTACAAAACTAATAAACTATCTTGAAATTTGAAAATCGATTCTAAAAAAAATGAACCAAAAAAGAATACACGAGATGATTGATGTAGAGATACCCGAACTACCTACTCATGGTTCAAAACGTACAAAATTGTTTGTTATTGGCAGCAATGATTGTGGTGAACTTGGTTTAGAAAACGATGTTGAAGAAATGAATATCCTAGACACGTTGAAAGCCTAGCTGATTTTCATATTGTGAAAATTAGTTGTGGAAGTCTACATGTAGCAGCTCTAACTCGAGATGGAACAGTAAAAAAAAAAAAAATTTATTCTACATTTAACAACAAAAGTTTATATTTATTAATTAATAATAAATTATTATTTTTTTTAGGTCATCACTTGGGGTTGCAATGATGAAGGTATGAATGTATATATAAATATTAAATTAAGTAGCGTAGAATATGTAAACTGATTTTTTATGCATTTAAAAAGGTGCATTGGGTAGAGTTACTAAAAGTGAAGAAAATCCAAATGCAACCGATGAGAATGTGCTGGCATACGTTCAAGGTCTTGATGATGTAGTTATAGTTAAAGTCGTTTGTGGTTCAAATATGACGCTAGCTTTGTCTAATAGAGGTCAATTATATGCTACCGGAACATTTAGGGTATGTAGATATCTTTTCAAAATTTACAAAAATTACATAAGATTAATATTTTCATCATAATAATACTTTTAAGGATAATAATGGGAATACAAGATTTACCTCAGCAATTAATAAGCAATCAATTTTCGTGAAATACGGTCCTACTTCTTACTTAAAAATCGCTGATATCGCCGTTGGAGAGAATCACGTATTAGTTCTAATGACAAATGGTTATTTATACACTTTTGGATGCATGGATTCTTATCAGCTTGGAAGAAGAATATCAGTTCGTAAACCCAATGGTTTAATGCTAATTCCTGAAAAAAATATCAATCAATCAAATTAGAAAGATTTTTGCTGGAGGAAATCACAGCTTTGCAATTGATGAAGATGGAATGGTGTATACATGCAGAGGATCAGTGTGGTATTGAATCACCAAATCCTATTATAACCCCAATGAAGTTAGAAAACTTATTTAGAGTAAAACAAATTTCTGCAGGACTTCATCATATATTGGTCCTTCTAAAAAATGGTGATATTTATAGTTTTGGCAGTAATAAATATGGACAATTAGGCATTGGTGTTTCTGAAGAAAACAGAAAGTCTCCTGTCCGAATTAATCTTGATAATTGCAAATACATTGTGACTGGAGATCATGCTGTTAATAATGAAAATAAAGTGTATACTTGGGGTTTTGGCGAAACATCTGCTCTGGGAAATGGAAGTGAGAATAACGAATTATTACTATTCGAACTTAAATGTAAAGAGTTTGGTGAAATTTCAGAAATTGGGGGAGGTAGCCAATATTCGGTTATATTATCTAGTTTTCATAGTTTATAATCTAAAATATCATTATATTGCTGCTAATTAATATAATATAACTTTGTTGAAAATTCTATTTTTGTTAATTAAAAAATATTTCTCATTTCAAAAAAAAAAAGGTTAATACAATTTACTACATTTATGAGCATTTATGAGTTAGTAGCCGTAGTTTTTGCACAAGTTAACTAGTGTCACGTGGCTGAATGGACGTATTTACAAATCCATGAAAATATCTATTTATCATCTACATTTAGACGCATCATAAATAAATGTGAAAATTGCTTTTTTTTTTTATTATTATAAATATGAATACAAAATAATATACTTCATAGGTTTAATTAATTTTTTGGTATAAGTCTTCATAATAATGAATATAAAATTTTTTTTCGCAAATATACTGTAAATGGTTTAATATTGATAAAAGATGATCTAATTCGAATAAATAAATAAAATTGACTAAATAAATGGCTTAAAAGCTAGTGCACAATATTGAGAGAGAATTCTAATGAAAAAACACATGAACTTATCAATTGCCATTATCATCAAGTCAAGCTAAAGAATTTCTCGTGGTAAACTGGAAAGTCAATTGGAGCTTCGCCATCTAAACTAGGCTTGTGCCGTAAATATTCGGATTTTTGCTATAAGAATGACCCTTTTGAAAGTCATTTTATAAATATAAATATTAAACCGGATCAAAGGATCCGTCATTACACGTCTTTTTTATTCGTTTTCTTTAATCCACTTTTAAAAATTACCCATTTAAAAAATTTGTTTTCATATTTTACTTTCCTTTGTTGGGTTGTGTCGGTGTCAACCTCCCCATGGTACAACCCAGACAACTTTACGTTTTTTTTTAACTGTTAATATAAAGGCTAATAGACATCCTTTTTACTTGTATTTTTTTAATAAAGGTTTTATTTAATTAATAATAAATAAATAAATAATAAAATATAAATAAGGTTTTATTTAATTAATAATAAATAAATAAATAATACGCAAAATTATAAATTAAGGTTTTATTTAATTAATAATAAATAAATAATAAAATTATAAATTATAAAAGTATTTATTTCGCTAATATATCTATACTGTTAAAGATTGAGTTTACAATGTCAATAGCAAGTCGATTAACAGAGTTTTTAAAAATAAAAATAAAATAAAAAACAATTTATTTGTCGTTGCATAACAATAAGGCCGAACTTACGTTAATAGTTGCGTCAATCGTCATTAGTTGCAGTTTATAGAAGTGACCCAAATTATGACTAGTCCTTTAAAACTATACCGAAGCAAATCATGAATTTTTATTTTAGATCTATGATTATATGAATCTTTGAGACCTGTGGGTAGAAATTAGCTTCGGCTACGCCAAAAGTATTTAGGCACCAATTTTTCAGCAAAAATAAAGCTGCGTCTAAAAATTTATATAATATCAAAGTTTAACGCAAAGAAAATTGTATTTATTTGTCATTAATTAATAGAATTATAGATGTAATCCCCGATCACTATTCCAACTTACCAGAAGGCTTGACAAAATTTCCAGTTCATATAATTAACATGGCAACAACGACCATATAGATTTTGGTATTATATTATGAATGAATTTATTCAGCTGCTGACAAAGCAATTTTTAGATATTCAGTCTCTTTAAATAAGATACATTCGGAATTTTATTTTTTATAATTGAACCTTTTGTTTATATAGCAATAATGTACAAAAATATAGCAAAAACATGATATAATGCCCAAAGGATCCGACGAAGTCTCACATTTTCTATCACGTTTTCTTTGAAAATTTTTATATATTCTGAATGTCTTCATCGTTAGAGTCCAATATATCTGGTTGTGTCTCATCTCTTTTGTTATTTGTTGATTTTAATTTTAATTTTTTTTGCATTTTGTTTATCAACTTCATCCGAACTTGAATAATCAGATCGTATTTTACTGTTTGATTTCTTTGAATTTCCACTTTCACACTTCATATAATTCCAATTTCTAGCAAGAATTCTCGAGAGTAGAGTTTTTAAACATCTAGTATGGAAATTTTTACCACAAGAACTATCATATAAAAGGATATAAGCTTTGTCACCTTTTCATTTATATACAGAGCTACCACCAATATTCATAGAATTTATTTTTATTTCCATAGCAATCTTCACATTCTGACCATCTTGGTCATCACTTACAGCCAAGTCTTCCTTGCAAATTTTTGTTGACAATAATGTATATTAATAATTTACTTTTGAATTTATTAATTGATTAGTTGAAAATTCTTACATGATCATTACTTTGAATGGATTCAATGTTATTGGCTTGTGTACTATTGTTAACTAGGGTCGTTTGTTCAAGCATCCCGGGGATAACATTGATTGATTGCTGGTCATTGGGCATAGATTCATTCGTTTCTCTGACATTTTTAGTTTGCTAAAATTTGTGATTTGCCAATGATAAATTAATTTTCAGGTTAGCTTAATTATAGAAAACTTTCAAATTCCTTATGTTTTTCTTACTTGATTGTCATTAACGCATTCATTATCTTGCTGGTTCATATTGTCAATCTCTTGATCAATTATAGTGATAAATCCGGGAATAAAAAATTGACCAGAGTTCTTAGTTCCTTTATTCTTTTCGTTAGCTTAAAAAGATATGCAAAGGGTATTATGTATAAGACTCTTGAAAATTGATAATCATTTTCGTTATTTGAGATTTTTTTTTTCAAATAGGTTTAATTTGACTTTCATCAATTTCCATAAGCACTGGTAAAGAAGTAAAAATTCAATCTGCTTGTCAAATACTTCTCTAGAATTTCATTTTTTATGAATAATTATTGGCTTTGGATCTCTATTAATTTGGACATCAGTACTTGATTTTCAAATCATATTAATATTAGATATAGGTCAACATATTCATATTATAAATTCTTACCTGATTATGCTTTAGTGTTCGTATTATATACTGATTATAATATAAAAGTATAAGACTTACATGCCTAAACTAAGCTATATTAGTATACTATTACTATAAGCAGATATAATATATACTGCATAAATTAAACAAATTTCTTAATAAAACTTTCATACTTGTAAAGATTGACTATCTTCATCTAAAGTATTATTTTTATCAATTTCATCAATTGAACCTTCAGCTTGATTTAATGAGTGGAGAGAGGTTGAACTTCAAGAAATTGAACTTCGAGAACTATTGAGCTGTGTGAATGATTCCTTTGTAATTTGATAAGTTTAATTACACCTTGAAATTTATTTTTAAATCTGGCGAAATTTGATTATGAATATTACCTGGTTATTCATATCCAATTGGATTACTGGTACATTCTCCGTTTCATCTATACGCTTTAAAAATAACAAAATAAATAATATAGACTAGTGAAATTTTGTTATATGTTGGTTTTTCTATAATTTTTATATACATTCTTATAAGTAAAAAAATTTTAAATTATATTCAAAAAATTAGTCAAAACTTTATGTAACAATAATACCCAAAGAATCTGATAAAGTCTCGCATTTTTTCTTATGATTTGTTGTCTTTTTCTTTGAAAATATCCTTATATTTAACTGTCTTCATCGTCAGAATATGCTGTGCCTTATATTTTTTAACACTTTTGATTTTAATCTTTTGTTTTTTTTGCACTTTGATTATCAATTTCATCTAAACATGAATTTTCATCTTGCTAAAATTTGTGATTTGTAAATGATATTTTAGATTTTCAGGTTAATTACAGAGAATTTTCAAATTCCTTATGTTTTTCTTTCTTACTTGATTGTCATTAACACGTTCATTATCAGGCTGGTTCATATTATTAATTGAAAATTGATCATCAGTGTTAATAGCTTGCGAATCAGGCAATTGTTTATTGGTTTCCTCGTTATTTTCAAAGATTCTCTCTTTGCTGTGGTTTTGGTGATTTGTTTACTAATTAATTACGCTTATAGTTGATATTATTGAAAATCTTTGTTACCTCCTGATTCTCACTAACATATGAATATTTCGAAGCATTCTTTGTTAATCATCGGTTTAGTAAAAAATTAGTTCTTAAAATATCTACTATATTTCTTAACAACGTTTGAAATCCTTACATTATTATTCACCTTTTTCTTTGAAATTTTAAAATAATTATTCATATGATTATCTTTATCTATTAGTTTTCTTCCAAATTTTAACATTAACTATATCTTCAATGATCATAGATTCTTTCTCCTTTATGTTATTAATCATTTTTCATTAAGTTTTTTCAGAAATTAAAACCACACCACGTGTGTCTATTATTGGTGTCATCACTTAAGAAAACGGTTGCTGAGCACGATGGGCTATTAAAAACAATTTCTCTAACTCCCCCTTAGTAGCCTCCCGTATAAGATTAATCAAACTTCTAATAATTTCCTTTTTATTTTCTATAGTTTCGGCCATTAACTTACGATAGTAAAAGAGAAAAAGGTGGAATTATGATGAATTTATATTTACAATTTGACTATTATCACATCTTACAAAGTTGGATTAAATATTTAATAATGATGATATCAGATATACCCTATGATCTTGATAGTTTCTTAAATTACGTTGACTAATATTCTTGGTCATGTATAAATTAATACAGTAATATAAAAATGATATATTACGTAATAATGACAATAATGAATTATTTTTGATTAAAACATTCACTTATAGTAATTTTTGCTTCGAGAGGTGAATAAAAAAGTAGTTTAGTACATATTGCAAACAAGCTTAAAATTCAAAATATATATTTTATTGTTTTTTATTTTCTTTTTTTTTAACAACAATCGGAGGGTATGCATAATTAAATTTTCTTGGAATTTATTTAATCAGAGAATTAATTCCTTATTTTCTGTCTTAATAGGTTGATATTTGATTTTGTGTTCCAATATACAAATTGGGTTACGGAAATAATCGACATATTAAATCTAATGGGTATCCAATGAATTTATTATTAAATTTAGTAGTCAACGTATTTCGTTCTTGTTTATCTTTTTGGATAATAAAAAGAATTTTACAAAACAGTTAAAATCACGAAAAATCGTGTGTTTTTTTTTTAATTTTTGTAAAATGAATAGTGATATAATGTAAACCACTGAATCAAATTGGTTACGCCTAATTTTAATGAATTTAATGAAAAGTAGCATCTGTTAATAATTTTTTT